CGTAAAAATTCATGAACTAATCCTCTCTGAATTGGATAAATGAAACCCACCTAGCATGTGGGATTCATTCTCTATCTCTCTTGCTGAATTTTTTTTTTTATTACTGAAACAACAAAAAAATAAAATTTGGCATATGTTTAAAATATATTAAAAAAAGTTCCAATTTTTTGATCTTGTGTACTTAAACAAAATAGAAAAAAAATTATTAAAAAATTGATTATACTCTATATTATATACTACATTATAATTTTTCTTCTAAATAGATATTACTTAATTTCTGACATTCGGTATTTAATTACATAAATTTTGAGAGTAAACGTGCAAAAATATTCGGTCTAAGTCAAGTTTAATTGAAAGGGTTTGAGTGTCATTAAAAAATCACATTTGTTCAGTAGTATTGGGTCTCATTACATCTAAAATTTTGTTTCCTTAGAGATGAACTCTAAAAAAAATTAACATTTTAATTAAAGCAACATATTTTAAAGGAAAAATTTTAACCACACCCCCTGTAGTTTACCATATCTTCAAGGACACCCCTTCTAATTTTTGAATATTCAATGACACCTCCTGTCAGATTAAAAATATTAAAGTAAAATACAATTTTACTAAATTACTTATGATATATTTGAGGACAAACTTCATCCACCCCCTGTAGATAAACATATCTTCAATGAAACCCCCTCTAAATAAGTATATTTTCAATGAGACTCCCTCTGTTTTTTAATTTTTTTTACATAATTAAATTCAAATCGATTAAAATTCGATTCAATCTAATTAAAATTTATTTTTTTACATATATTAAAATTTGTGCCAATTAAAAATTATATTTTTTTTACGTATTAGAATTTGGGATAATTAAAATTTTGTTTGAGCCAATTAAAAATTATTTTTAATCGACTCAAATCAAATTTTAATTAATTCGCATTGAATTTTAATCAGCCTAAATTTTAATATATAAAAATATATGAATTTTAATTGACTTAAATTTTAATAAATCTAATTTTAATTGACACAAATTTTAATAAGAAAAAAATATAAATTATAATCGACTCGAAAGAGAATTTTAATCGACCCTAACAACTCGGATAGAGTTCAAATTGGATCAAATTTTAATATGTAAAAAATTTTTTTAATAGGCTAGATTTTTTTTAAAAAAATTTACTAATTAGTAAATAAAAAATTAGTATTTACTGACAAATTATTTACTAAAATTGTTTTTTATGATTTTTTTAAAAATTTTAACAGCTCGAATTTTAATAAAATTTTATGTAAAAAAATTACTTGAGATTATGTAGGGGCATTTTTGATATTTTAGATAAATTTATATTGTTAGAAATAATAGTTTAATGGTAGGGGTGTTAGTGATGTTTAAATTAAACTAGAAGAGGTGTCATTAAAATTCAGAAACTAGAGGGGTGTCCTTGAAGATATGGTAAACTAGAGGGAGTGTCGTTGAAATTTTTCCTATTTTAAATTGACCTGATTTGTGGTATTAATTCACGCAATAATATTAAAATTCATGGAAAATAAATTGCATTTGGGTCATTGAAAAAATTTAATATGGTTCGGATTAATTTTGCTATTTATTAAAAAAAAATAATTAATTTTTATTTTTAAATACACTACTCGGCTTATCTATAAATAAATAAATAACGACTTAGACTTGAATGGTATCGATATGTGTATTATTTTTGTGTTGGAATTTTTTTTTTTTTTATGATGCATATGATTTTTGTGATTAAAAATGTATTGTACAAATTTAATTAAATAACTAAACAAAATATTTATTGGTATATTTTGTAAAAATGCGTAATTTATTGATTCATATTTTTTGTTGTAAAAAAAAAATATTAATAGATTGGACTTTTTTTTTCATTATATTCCAAACATGATATAGGATTTGATCACATTGTTTACACAAAGGTAAAATGATCATTTTAGCATATTTTATCTTCACATGTTAATGAGGCCCACATAACAAATGAATCCTATCTAAAAATGGGATATAATTTGAATCCCATCTTTATAATCCTTTAATTCAGACCACTTTACATTGAATTAGATTGAGTTCGGATTCCAATTCAATCCTCTCATGATAAACCAAACACCACCATAGGTGATTGAGAGAATAAGGACATGTTTGTTTCAAGTATTATATAAGCCTGGTATTGAAAATATATTCCAATGCCAATAGATATTAGTACCGATAATAAAAATTATTCCAATCCCTTCCCTTGTTTATTTATTCAATAGGTACTATGATGGGGTCTACAAATATAGGTCATCTTTGGTTTGTGATCCAGAAACAGTTTTTTATTCTCAAAATTTTAAAAATACCAAAAACCTGTTTGTTTAACATTTTTGTTCTCTAAATTTTGGAAAAAAAAATGAGATTTGAGTTAAAGAAACAGAAAACAAGTGTAGCTTGTTTTCAGATTTTTTTTGAAAATTTTGGAAACAAGGAGAACAATTTTGGATGTTCAGATATATATATATATATATATATATATATATATATATATATATATATATAATTGTTTTACTATTTTCTGTATTGTAAATTTATTTTTGAAATCATCTAATTAAACAAGTTTTTTATCTCAAAAAATATCAAAACCACTTTTTTAAAATTCTTTTCAAAAACTATTTTCGGATACTATTTTTTGAAACACAAACCAAATAGGCCCATATATTCTATCACATCTTATATAACAAATATATCATTTTACCCTTAACATCATCCATTCCATTCAAAATAATTTTCAAAGAAAAAAAATTAAAAAAAAAAACGATGACACTACACGCTTAAACATAATATAAATAAAAAATTTAAAATAATTTTTTTAAAAAAACCAGTAATACCGTACGCTTAAACATAATAAAAAAAAAATTTAAAAAAAAATTGTTAATATCATACGCTTGAACATAATATAAATAAAAAATTTAAAATAATATTTAAAGAAATTTAAAAAACAATCGGTGACACCGTACAATTAAACATAGTAAAAGTAAAAAAATTAAAATAATTTTAAAAAAAAATTTTTTTTAAAAAACCGTTAACACCGTACGCTTAAATATAATATAAAAAAAAAGTCAAAATAATTTTTTTTAAAAAAATTCAAAAAAAATCGATGACATCGTACGCTTAAACATAATATAAGGAAAAAATTCAAAATAAATTTTTTTTATGTGAACTCTTCATATAGGAGGACATTTGTGTCATTTTATTCTCTTATACCGTCATTTCATTTATACCGAAAAGATAATACCTCCAGGTAGGTGATATTCATTTATACATTAAGGACATTGTTCAAACCGAGGCGGTATTACGACCTGAAAAATAATATTGACTATAAAATATTAAACAAACAAGATATAAAATAGATCTCATATATTATTTTCTTAATCCCACCTCTTTATACTATTCTTATTCTCAAAACAAACTAGCCCTAGGGCGGAGAGACAGAGCTAAGATGGAGAGCGAAAGGCGATGGAGAGAGGAGTAAAAATGAAATGGGTTTAAATGGGTGCCCAAAAAAAAAAAAACCCTTTTTATTGCTAACAAAGTTTAAAACCTAGATGTCATTAACTCCCAACCAAGCTCCGCGCACGTGTCATTGTTTCACTTATTTCTTGGAACATATTTTTTGGCTTTGTTTTCAAAATATTTTATCTAATATAAAACAGAAATATAAACCCAAACACGTTTTTATTTTTATTTTTTACAAAAAATAAAAATAAAAACAAAAAATATGAAACAACACACGCCCTAAATCTTTTCATGTAATTATTCCATTACCCCTATGCCTAGATTCGGTATGGGTCATTATTGCAATAATAATAATAATAATGAAAAATTTCAGTCACACATTTTATAGTTTATCACATATTTAATGACACTTCCTCTATTTTTTTTGAATATTTACTGACACCCTTTATTAGATTAAAAGTGTTAATTATAATACAATTTTACTAAATTGTCCATGATATATTTTAGGAAAAATTTCATCCACACCCCTTTTAGATAGATATATTTTCAATGAGATCCCTTCTATTTTCTAAATTTTTTATGTATTAAAATTTGGGTCGATTAAAAGTCTATTCAAGCAAATTAAAATTTATATTTTATGTATTCAAACATGAATCGATTAAAAATTATATATTTTTTTGTATTAAAATTTAAGCCAATTAAAATTCTATTTGAGATTCAAATCAAATTTTAATCAATTCACATTAAATTTTAATTGGCTCGAATTTTGATATATAAAAAAATCTAAATTTTAATTAATTCAAATTTTAATATGAAAAAAATAAATTTTAAGCAACTTAAATCGAAAATAAAAAATATAAATTTTAATCAATTCGAAACGAATTTTAATCGGACTAATAGCTCAAGTAGAGTTCAAATTATCCCAACTTGTCATATGTAAAAAAAAATTTATTCAGCTTGAATCGAATTTTAATCGACTCAAATTTTAATATATAGGAAAAAGAATTTTAATCAACTTGAATTTTAATATGTAAAAAAAAAACTATAATCGGCCCAAATTTTAATCGAATTTTATATAAAAAATATATTTGAGGTTTATGTATGGGCAATTTTGGTATTTTAGATAATTTATTTTTGTTATAAATTATGGTTTAATAGTAGAGGTATCAATGACATTTAAATATAAATTAAAAGAGGTGTCAGTGATATTTTTGATAATTAAAAGTGGTTTTGAAGATATAATAAACTAAAAAAAATATTGCTGAAATTTTTCCTAATACTAATAATAATAAACCCCTAAAAGAAGGACAAATTGTTCTACTCGATTAATCTTAAGGCCGCCAAGTTTGTGTAATGTTAATACCTCTTTGCTTGCCCAAGGCCCAAGACATCACTATGTCCAAACCATGGGCCTAGCAAGGCCTCTTTATCCCACTCACCTGTTTAAAACCACCACCGCACAGTGGGCCCCTCAGTCATAACCATAGTTGGAAAGAGGACCTTTGGTCAAATTAACCATGGTTATTTTCACCTCGTCTCTCAGCTGATCTCTCTCTCTCCTCCACAGATCTGCCTAAGCACAGGGTTTCATTTCGAATTCTTATATTGAATTTTCTTCCCGAATCTACAATTTTCCGGCAAATTCCCTGCTCAGTGGTGTTACCGGATGTGGAAAATTATAAATGGAGACACAGAGAATCATGGAGTTTCCTCACAGAAACATGGATAAACGGCCAAAGAAACGACCTCGTTTAACATGGGACATGCCTCAACCTGTTCCTCCTACAAAGGTTTGATTTATATAAGCATTCTTATGCTTCTGTATTTTTGTGTATGTATATCTCTGTGTGCCGAAATTCTTTCATATTGCTGTATGTTGTTCTTTGCTTGAATTTGTAAAATCACCACTGAAATTAGGTGAAGGTCTTTTAAATTCGCTTCATTTCTCTGCTCAAGTTGGAATCATCTCTTTCTGTATCGAAATGTATTATGCATATAGATTAGATGGAGTTTTCTTTTTTGTATATATTTGAAGTATGCTGAATGTGGATCTTGCATTATTGCTCTTCTTTTTTGTCTATATTTAGTATCTTTTTATCATGAATTGTTCACCTATTTTTTTGGTGATCGATTTTTGTATGTTATGGTCGGAAAATTACAGAGTAAATCTGGGTTTAGTCAAAATTTTGATTCAAAATAAAGGGGCCTTTCTTTTTAGAAGTAATTTTATTTACACTTAAATTGTGGATCTAATTTATTGAAAAATTCTGGCTCGAAATGGTGTGTAAGTCTTACAGTATGCATCGTGCGTTTGGCTGAAGCACATGCTCTCATTAAGCTTATACTAATGGCTGCAAGTCTGAATAAACTTTGTACCATTTTATTAGATGCAACTTTGCAAGTACAGCTTTTGTACTGCCACCACATCATTGATTTTTGTTCTTCATGCAGGTCTGAATAAACTTTGTACCATTTTATTAGATGCAACTTTGCAAGTACAGCTTTTGTATTGCCACCACATCAATGATTTTTGTTCTTCATGCAGGTCCTTCCAACAATATATTGTGGGCAGGAGTTTGCAAATGGGACAGTTCCCAATTATGCTTATTCTTCTATATATTACAAGGGGGTGCCCAGCAATGGTTCTCCTCCTTGGAGGCCGGACGACAAAGACGGCCATTTCGTTTTTGCTATTGGAGAGAATTTAACTCCTCGTTGTAAGTGTACTTGAACTTCATGAAGTGTAACTACCGTATTCTGAGATGTCCTAGATTTGAATACCTATTGAAGTAGTACTCGAGTGGTGCTATTTTGTAATCTTGCACAATTATGGGATGTTCATATTGAGCACATTGTTTTCATTATTAATAAATTTTTGTTGGGATTGTCTCGCTGTTTTCTAAATTAGATTTCAACCATTTAATTACTGGAATTATAAGGTGATTGAATAATATGTATATTTTGTTTTTTAAATTATCAGACATTGACAACTTCTCATAATTTTAAAAACAAAGAATACATATTATTCAATACGAAATGACCATATTAGAGAAATGGTAGATGTAGCTTCAATTGAGGACAAGTTGAGAGAGAATAGATTAAGATGAGTTGGTCATATTCAATAGAGGCCGATAGAGGCACTGGTTAGGAAAAGTGATAGAATTTATCTTAATGATTCTAGGAGTAGGGATAGTAGGAGTAGAGGTAGATCTAAACTAATATTGAACAAACTAATAAGAAAAAATATGAAAATATTTAACTTAAATGAGCGTATAACGCATGACTGAAATGAATAGCGAAGATGGATTCATATAGCCGACTCCAAATGATTGAGTCATAAGGCTTGGTTTGGTTTGACAACTTTTGAATTTTTGAAATTTCTAATAATTGTTTGTTTTGGAATGCAAATTGACAGATTGATGTATGTGTGAATGGGGTTAATTTATTGCATTTAATATATCCATGAGACATGGACTTTGGTCACATCTATGTGACTGACAATGGGCTTTATTATACGCATGTATCGCGTATTGATATCCATTTTGGTCCTTGTACTGGTCGACTTCGGCATGGGTGCTTCACCTATTCTGTAGTTTTTATGTACCCTTGTTCGGTCTCTTTGTGTGTGTCTGCCCATGTCTCTGCCCACAACTTTTAGTTTACAATTAAATAGCTGATCCTATGTATTGGAGCAGTTAAAGAGACCAACGTGGCTCAATTATGAAATGTTCATAACTATCTCTTTTCCATTAGTGGTAAACTTTATTGTAAAAAGAGGAAAGTTACGGGAAAAAATTTATGAGGAACTATAGTCAAGTAGAACCTACGAAAAAATCCTCGAAAGTTTGAGCCATAGATAGAGTGAGCAAGAGAAGTTGTAATGTGCACTCTGCCCACTGGGCAGTCTCTCTCACTTGGTCTCTTTAATTTTAATCATGTGTGCTGACGTGATATGAAATCACACATGATATCTTCTTTGACTTGATATGAAAGCTGTAATTTGTCCACTGATAACATCCTTTCTTTCTCACTTGAACTTGCAGACAGGATTATGAGCAAAATGGGGGAAGGTTAGTAGTTCTTTCAGATCCTGACTTCTTTTTGTCAGAATCAGATCGTCTCTACTTTCATTCAATATCTTAATTTCCTTCCCCCCCCCCCCCCCCCCTCTCTTTTCCCTCTGTTTTATTCTTTTGTCCAGACAAGGGCTTTTCCTAATCATTTTTACTCTAAAACTTGGTTGTTTTGATCTTCCTTCCATTATTACAATTGGGGTTCGTTTGTTAGATTCATGCAACGGAATCGATTTTTTTTGTTCAATCTATTGAATAACAAAATTGCAGGGACTTTTGGGCAAGTCTTGGAATGTTTGGACAGTGAAAGAAAAGAGATTGTGGCAATTAAAGTTGTCCGCTCGATACACAAATATCGGGAAGCTTCCATGATTGAAATTGATGTCCTACAGAAGCTTGCCAAGCATGATATTGATGGCACACGGTAGGCGCCTTCGTTCCTTTTGTCATTGCTTAATTGTAGAAAATTAAAGTGATTTTGGTACAAGTTTTTCTATTCTTTGCAGTTGTGTGCAAATACGGAATTGGTTTGACTATCGTAATCATATTTGTATTGTAAGTATTTATGGCACTTGCGGTTTGATTAATTTAAGAGGGCAATGATGTTTCTTCATGCCTGAATATTCTGTGAGTTGAAAACTTGCGGATGGATTTAAATGATCTTAACAGGTTTTTGAGAAGCTTGGTCCTAGCTTATACGATTTTCTCCGCAAAAACAGCTATCGTTCATTTCCCACTGATCTTGCTCGGGAGTTTGGCAGACAACTTTTGGAATCTGTAGCATGTGTGTGGACAATCTTGCACCATTTTATCAATAGTTCACTTTATGCTCAAATGGTTTTTTTATGAAGCTCAAATTCTTTGACTGCCACATTTCAATTCTTGATTGAAATACCATTTGGTTGAAGCTAGGCAGTAGGCTTTGCTGGTGTTGGGATGGAATTGATAATAATTATCACTTCTAGTTGTCTCATTCAATTTTTCTTCTTTTTTTTTTGCAGTTATGCATGATCTGCGCCTAATTCACACTGATCTGAAACCAGAAAATATTCTGCTTGTTTCCTCGGAGTATATTAAAGTGCCAGATTATAAGGTACTACCTCATGTAGATTTTTTTTGTAATTTATCTTCTTCCTGTTCTTTTTAATGCTTTCAGTAGGTAATTCTCTGAAAGTGTGCCTAGTTCTGCAGTTGGCTATATATTGGGCTGGAACAGAAATGTTTTAACCTAATTTGCAGATGTTTATGTTTGAGTTAAACTTTTAATGATTTTCTTCCCTTTGTACAAGTGTAGTTAATAGACTCTAAAAGTGGCTGCAATTGATGGTTCTTGTTTGATCAATTTTGATGGAAACATAGAATAAGTTAAACTTGGTATTGCCGTTGGTTATGTAATTGCATTGTGAGTTAAATATTTGCAATTACTGCATTGTATTGTATAAAACCATGGTAAAGTTTTGAGCTCATGAATTTGATTTTCTAATCTTGACTTATGATGGCTAATATTTCTCTTTTCATTTGCCTGTATCAAGTTTCTGTCACGATCCATGAAAGATGGTTCCTATTTCAAGAATCTGCCAAAGTCAAGTGCTATTAAGCTCATTGATTTTGGGAGCACTACATTTGAACATCAGGATCACACCTATGTGGTGTCTACTCGACATTACCGTGCACCTGAGGTTATTTTGGGTAATTGCTATTTCTTGTGACATCCAGATTATTAGTTTACTTGTCATTGAGTTCTATGGGTAAAAGATATTTATAACTTATTTCTGCAGGTCTTGGATGGAACTATCCTTGTGATATGTGGAGTGTGGGTTGCATTCTTGTTGAACTTTGCTCTGTAAGTATTCAACATTGCTCTGTGAGTAAGATTTGAATATTCCTTTCTTTACTTCACCTTATTGTCAAAAAAGATGTTGGAGATTCAATGGGACTTCTACTTGCCAATGAGATTGGTCTCTATTAGAATAACAATGCCCTTGAAAAAAAGGAGTTTTCATTGAGGTCCTTGACAATGTTATGAAGCTTTGTTGATGATATTATAAAGGGGGAAACCAATCGTTGTCTAGAATGTTATATTTTAGGTAGTCTAAAATGCTGGGATCCATAGCTTCTTTGCAGGGAAGTCTCTTTGTTAATTTATAAAATCTGTCATGGAGATGCTCCTTTTTCTCCTCCCTTCTGTCTATTTGGTTTATACTTTTCTTGTGGAGCTGTTGCTTTGATAAAATATCCACCGTATGTTTTCCATCCTTTGAGATCAATATAGCTCTGTTTTTTGCTGAATAGGGGGATGCCCTTTTTCAAACACATGAGAACTTGGAACACCTTGCCATGATGGAGAGGGTATTGGGACCACTGCCTCAACATATGATAATTAGAGCCGAGTAACATCTATTGTCTTCGTTGTTCATTTGGCAAAATTTTATGCTTCATCACGCGGAACAAGCTATAACATTTTGACTGGTGTTTCTTGCAGTCGTCGTGCTGAGAAATATTTTAGAAGAGGTGCACGATTGGATTGGCCAGAGGGTGCAACCTCAAAAGAAAGTATGAGGGCAGTTTGGAAACTGCCCCGTCTTCAGGTAATTTCCAGATTTCTGTTTCTGGATTGTCTTGGAATCATATGACGAGATACTTATGGCTTATTCTTTATTGATTTTGTTTAACTGTGAAAAGGCGGTCAACTGAATATCATCAATATTCCTCCCATGTTAACCAGATGAAATGAGGTGCCTACTGTGTTGCCTCTGTGCCGTGGATTGCAGCTTGGTGCTTGCAAGAAGTTTAGTAGTAAATGTTTTCACTTGAGAAACATAACATATTGGGTAAAAAAGAAGCTTCTACAAATGGTAAAGATCATAGTTGTCAAATCGTGTATCGGAAGGCATACCGTTTTTTAAAAATAGTATATCGTATCGTATCGTATATCGTGTATGGTAAGATACGCGTAATTTTAATTTTTAAATAATTATTAATAAAATATATGTATATACATTTATAAAAAAGTCATTGATTCATAATAACATATTATTTTATTAATATTTCACCAACTATTCAAATTTCCAATACAGTTCAGTAATATCAAAATGTAAAGACCTCTAATTCAAACTTCTAACCTCAATTGCTTGAACAACTTTAATATTAATCAAGAATTTTGAATTTAATTGAACAACATCAACATTAGACTTTATTTTTTATTTTTTAAATTATAACCACTGAAACGATGTTTCACTAGCTAGTGATTTAAAAATAAGTCCTAGAGTAAAATGATGTCATTTCAACCCCAAAAAACGAAAAAAAAAAAAACGGAATCGTCACGTATCGACTGTGTCGTATCGTATCGTATATCGTATGATACGCGTTATAGAGAAACGATACGTATCGATTTTCGGGTGTATCGTGACGTACCGTACGATACGTATAACTATGGTAATGATATTGTCATGATAGGAAATCTCTCTCTCTCTAGTTGAGGTATTAAACTTTTTTTTTGGGCAGGTAATGGGGTTTTTTTCCTTTATTTTTTTTTTTTGGTGTGGGGGGGGGTGTAGGAGTAGGGGTCGTGGCTTGTTGTGGTAAAACCTTTTGGCTAACAAACGGTCAGTTAAATATAAGGGTAGCCACTTTGTGCAACAGTGCCAAAGGTTAGTATTGTGCCCCGTTAACCCAACTCAATTTCATTTTGTTAACGAATTGGGTGTTGATAGTTTTACCGATGAATCTTTGGGCCTACTTAATTACGTTTTTAGCTGTGTGTTTTTCCTGCAAGAGATTTCCGGTGAGTTTGTTTCCCAATTGCATTGTGCAAGTATTAATGTGACCTTTTCTCTTAATATTGCAGAACCTGGTCATGCAGCACGTGGACCACTCAGCCGGTGATCTGATTGATCTCTTACAAGGGCTTCTACGTTATGACCCAGCAGAGCGTCTCAAGGCAAGGGAAGCACTGAGACATCCCTTCTTCACAAGGGATCTGAGAAGGTGTGGCTATCCTGTGTAATTGGAAATGTCATCTCTGCTCTAGATGAGCATAAACGAGAATGTTTGAGCATAAAAGTTGGTCTAGAAGGAGGAAAAGAAAAGAATGAAGCTATCAATTGATAGTTTTAATGCACAACATAATTTCTGCCACATTGTGTGGCCGTTGCTGTACAGTAGATTGTACCCCTCTTCCTCATCTATCACCATTTGTCTTCCGTGTTTCTGATTCTCTTTCGTGTAGTCATATCTGAATCCCCTCATTTCTAATTGAAATGTTTGTTGTGTTCCTGTTCTTCTGTGTCTAATAGAGTCGTGTTTCATTGTGAAAGAGTTGCTTTCCACTTTTTTATTGATTCTTCCTCCTCTTCTTTTGGTGTCTCTTGTCAGCATGTCATTCTATTTATTTGTAAGTTGGAACCTAAAACTGAGGGATAGCTAGCATAGATGTGCTTAAGCCATTGGGGATCTGTCTTCCAAATTTTGAATTACTGCGTATCACTGTTGTAGCTGCAAGCCGAGAAGTGAGAGCTGGGTAAGTGTTTGCTCTGTGCATTTGTGTGTGTGTGGAGATACTCAGTGCGTAGTGAGCCTCAGCATGGTCAATTGAGGATGTTGTGTCTATGTGTGGTGGAGATATACAGTGCAGAGTTAAGCCTAGAGCAAGGTTAGTTGGCCTTGTTTGTGTACATGCAGTGCGTATATTAAACGTGTTAGACTAGTATAGTCACTGTGGGCTGGCGTGTGTGTGTGGATTGGTGAATGGTAGCATTGTTGAGACTCGAGTCCATTTGGCATTTTTATGACATGGTTTGGCTCTGCTTTGAATGTTGATCTCTACGTTGAACTTAGTGGCCATATAACCCTGTTAAACCCAGTTAAGTTGACTGCAAAGTCTAGGTTATTTAGTGTTTTCTCGAACTGCAATACAGACAAACTAACTTTTTTGATGAATGATTTTTAGTTGGGGCCAAAACCTTGTTGGTCATGCCAATTCCAATTTGCATTATCTTGAAAGTTTGTCTATCTAAACCTTGTTCGGTTTTGTATTGGTTGATGGACAATGGGAAATAATTGCTTCGATGATTCTAATGTTTCAGGTGTGCAAGCAGGACTAGCCCAATCGATAAGCAACTTAAATATTTGCATAGGACTCCTAAAAACAGAGGGTTCTCAAATAATGTTATGGTATTTGAGAATTAATATTAGTGAAAATTAGAGCTGAGTCCTTTGTAAGGAACTTTTAATGAGTTTAGTTTGTCAAAAAAATTTATTTGGGGGTAAGTCTGTTTTTAATCTTATTAATAAGTAGTTAAGTTTACTATTTTTTAAAACTTCAAAATACTCTTCTAATGACTTAAAAAACAATTTTCAACAATAAATCAGTTTTCTTAACAGTCATCCTTGATTTGCACTTAATGAAAATTATATTTCCATAAAATCTGAAATTCAAATTGAAATTTGACATTACTATCATTTTTTTCTCTCATTTTTTTTAGCTGTGGAGACTATAGTTAATTTAATATTGAATGTTATTATGCGTGTTATTATTTTTTTGTTATGCATATTATTATTGTTTGTTGAGCATAATATTATTTTTTGTTGAACATGTTATTATTTTTTATGAGTATATTATTATTAATATTGAATGTTACTATTTTTTCGAAATATCAATTTTCAATGTAACTTTTTTTTGTTAATCATGTTACTATTGTTATTTTTTTAAATATTAATATTTAATGTTACTAGTTTTTATTTTTAAATGTTACTATATACATATTAATATTCAATGTTACTATATATATAATAACATTCAAAACAAAAAATAATATATAGATATGAGAGAGAGAATTTTAATGTTAGTCAAATTTATTAAATTTAGGATTTTTTAATTTTCAAAATTGTTGTAATTAAATATAACTAATGAGGGTATTTTAGACAATGAAGATCAAAATGGACTTAATATTAAACAAGTTTTCTTGATGAACTTATGACCAAATAAGTCCACAAAGGACGACCGACCTCCAAATTTTCCTTAATATTAGGGTTCTTTGGAAGCTGGTACACTTAATTAGATTTATTTGACAAAAAATACACATAAAATTTTTTTTGAAAAAAAGTACACTACTTGGATACAAAGATGTAAATGCCCAATTTGATAATTGTTTTTTAAAAAATGTAACAATACATTTTTCATAACCGCTAAAATTTAAGCTCAATTAATTCAAAATCTATTCATCATCCTCAAAAATCAAACTGTATCTCCTTGTCTTAAAAAAAAAAATTGCTTCTCAGATTCTTCATCCAAGGAAACCCGCCTCTTTGAATATTCATCCAATAGAAATCGATTCATCTTCCTCTTCAATCGATTCTCTATGTATTCATCCAAAGGGTTTTGAATATGCATTGTTCATCGATTGACTAAGGGATTGGGGTTGCATTAGCATCGATTGAAGAGGCTTTTCTTGGAGATTTGAAGAGGATTTTTTTGAATTTCGGCATTGTTACTGTGATATTTGGTTGTTGTTTCCACTGTGTTCGTTGATTTTGTTAATCTTCGCCAGGGGTAATGTATATATATATATATATATATATTACACTTGTTTTCTTGTTTATTTTTTGGGTATTATCATCATGAGTTACATTACACTTTTTTTTTCTTGTTTAAATTCATGTATTGGAACCCTATTTTGTTTGTTTGAAGATTGAAAGACGAATTTGAAAAATGTTTGTTGGTTTTTGTCAAAAGCCTTCAAATTATGTATTTGTTATGCCATAAGAGTGTTCATATTATAAAAAAATCAATGAATTGTTGGATGTTGTAAGTTTAATAATTTCTTTTTTCAATTGCTTGAATATAGGTCTGAACTGGGTTGACTGAATACATATGCATATATACGTTTGTTTGAATGCAATATAACTGGTGTTTGTGTTGTGTTTTGTTACACAATTATTACTACACTTTTGTTGTTACACTTGTTTTGATACACTTTTATTTTGTTATATTGTTAAAATTATACTGAATGTTTTGTTTTGTTTTCAAACATTGTTGTGTTGTGAATGTTAATTATTCAGGTTTTTCAGTGACACAGTTGTTTATTCTTTTTTGCATAAGTATGTGTGATTATAATGTGTGTACATCCTAAATATTGAATGTGTTACTATTACAGTGTAATATAGAAAGTGTAACATAGAAAGAGTAACATATAAAAGTATAACAAAGTTACCAATATAGTGTAATAACATACTAGTTACCCCAACAAAGTGAAGAATAGTGGACCATTAGACACAGAACTGTATATTCTATTTATAAAGTGTTACTGTGAGATAATAATACAGTGTGCAGGAATGCAAAATATTTATTATTTGTTGAATAACCTTGTGTGTAAATCCTAAATGTTAACTGTGTTACTCTCACATTATAATATAGAAAAGTGTAGCGTAAAAAGGGTAACACTGTTACTGGTTTACTTATTTGGTTATATTCTATTTTTTTGTTCACTTATTTGACTGTAACACACTGTTTTTTGTTCACATTTTTGATTATACACTGTTTTTTGGTTCACTTATTTGACTGTGTTATACACTATTTTTTGGTTCACTTATGGGGTGATACTGTTATAGTTTCAGTTAACTTTTTGTTATACTTTATACATTTTGTGTTTTGTCTCTTCCCAACTCAGAGCTGTGATGGGGAAAAAAATAAATGGTGGAATCGAAGCAGGAGCCTAAAGGCATATTGAACTTGCTTGTCATAATTAGAGTATAGATGACATTAATAAAAGTGAAGCAGACAATGATGTTTTGAAGAAAACACCATTTTGGTTACTATTTGAATGCTTCATTGATAAAAAATTAGACAGGACATGGTGCAGAAAGAGCGATAGTAACATACAAGATGTAATAATGTGCTTCGATGTTAATATATCAAAATTTCAAATTGGTGGGGAGGAGATCAAATTGAGAAGAAGTGATGTGAAAATAATTTTTAGCATTGATGATGGATGCGATCCAATGGATTCATTATATCATGGTAAAAAAAATACAAAATTTGTTAAAAAGAGATTCAAGAAGGATAGCAGGCTGACATCAACCTTGATAAATAGTAGATTGGTTGAAGCAACAAGTGGTACAACAAAACATGACGTTGATGATGTTGCAAGGCTATTATGCCTATTCTTAATGGTAACACTATTTTTCACACACACTAGGACATCTATAGGATGGGGATTTGTTTCATACGTCGAGGATTTAGACACAATGAAGAATTATAATTTTTCAAGTGTAATCCATGAATCTCTTATGTCTTCACTTCAGAGAAAAAATAGAAGCCCATCTGGTGTTATTGGATGCACAATATTGTTACTGGTAAGATGTTAACAACCCCGTTCCATTTTCAATATTGTTTCCTGTTGTTTAATAAAAGAATATAATTCGTTTGCTTATATTAAATTTGAATGTATGTGCAGTATGGAGTTTGTAAACATACAACAATTGTCAAATCTGAAAGGCCAAATACAATACCATGGATTGTGAAATGAACTCTACCAAGTCTTCAAAGAGCTATGAAACAAAGTACGCTTGCAAAGTTGAAGTCAAAATATGTAAATTGGTTAAATATAACAAATTTAGTTTAATATGTCCATGTTACAGAATTTAAAAATCTTTTTATGTTAATAGCATAAAATATGCTTGGACCATAAACACTGTAATACCACATTGTAATGATACACTTTCATTTCACACTTGTGATATTTAATGCATGCAATTGTTTACTTTTCAAATGTTTCAAAGGTGTTGAGACATAGGTTGAAAAGAATAGTAGAGGAGAAAATTTTTCTGAAATATAAGGAAAGCAAAGTACAAGAAGGTGTCCAATCTAAATTGGAGGGAAAGACCAAAAGTGGTAAAATTAAAAAAATACATGGCCAGGTGGATGAAGAAGCATTTGAGTGCAGTGGGATAGAGGACAAAAAACATGATACATTTCTTGGCGATGATGATGATATGTTGGATGTCATTCGTAGTGATGGTAATGAGAAGGTGGCATTTGAATATCTTATTGATGCTACTATTAACGAAACGACGCACAATCTTGATGTTCCAGTACAAAATGTCAGTGATGTAGAAGAAGAAGTCACAAACAGAAAAAGGCTTCAAGAGCTATTGAAGGAAAATGATGTCTTGAAAATTGTTATAAGGAACATAGGGACAGATAAATGTTATTTGGAGCATTCACATTCTGTTTCTGGGGGTGAAGAGTTTGACAAACAACAATTTGCATTCTCATTGAAAATGCAAAAAAAAAAAAGACTATGATAAACGAGTTGAATGAAATTATTGAAAATACGAAAAAGAGGGAACAAATTTCTGAAGCAGAAATACAAGCCTACAAGGAAACAATCAAAAATCGAGAAAATTAGAATGCTGAGTTGATTGATCACTTAACAAATTATCTGTCCATGTCATAACTTAGAAATATTAGAAAGAAAACATTGCAGCTCAAGATCACGGGAAAAAGAAAAAAACAGGACAAACATTAATAGTTTGAAACATCAAGAAAAGAGATAGGAAATAGGAGAGAGATGCAACATTCGAATACAGTGGAGAAAAAAGGGGAAAAAATCAAATTATAACATCAGATTTTAGTGAAGACAAATCTAGGAGAACAGTTGAGATTGTTGAAGATGATGACGACAAGGAAAAGATCACTACTATTCAAGGGCTCACAGACAAAAAGATAAAAAAAAGATGTGGCGTGAATGTGAAGTATTGGATGCCATTGATTTAAACAAATTGAAGACGATATATGATCAAAAGGGTTATGGGTAAGTGTCACTGTCCAATTAAAAATGTGTTAATTAAAAATTATGATTCTTACCTACTATGCTATATAATAAAATATATGACAAATTTACTTCTAATTTTTATGACATTCTAGTGGTCAA